AAGGTCCCTTCCTTCCTGCCTTCACTTAAATATGTTTAGCATTTTTTAATGTAGGTAGATCAGTTCGACTCGGTCATTTTGAAAGTAGCTCACGAAAAAAGTGTGGGCACCCCTGCCCTAGATCCACAAATGGAATCAGACTATCGAAGGACCAAAAGATCCTTCATTGTTTGGAAGTTAATATGTTCTATATAGCCTAGTTTGTTTCATGCCCCTGTTTACTGTGTTAGTGGGTATACTGATGTTTCATTTTGTCTCCGTTTTTCTTAATGAGTGATGCAGTGTAATAATGTGAGAATAGCATCTTTGAATGTGAATGGCCTAAATAATCCAATTAAATGAGGGAAAGTACTAGCAAAAATCAGAAGAAAAAAAATTCAAGTTCCAAAGAGGAGTTGCCATGAATTTCTAACTCTTAATTTTGAAGACATTAAAGAACCAAGCAACAAAGAGGGGAGGTATGTAATTGTAAGAGGGAAAATGGCTAATAATGTAGTTACTTTGGTTAATATATGTGCCACCCAATTCTGACAGAATGTTTCTGAAATTACTCTTTGAAATTATAGCCTTGGAAAATGAAGGAATTCTAATATGTGCAGGGGACTTAAACACAATTATGAATGCCAAATTAGACACAAGAAATAAGACCCATTTGTCAAAACTTTCTATCTGAACTGGGATGTTTGATGTGTGGAGGGAACTCCACCCATTTGAGAGGGACTATACACATTATTCTGCTCCACTCTCAGTGTACTCTTTTTATGAACACAATAGACCAATATAGAATAAAGGAATGTAAGATAGGAATAACAGATTTGTCTGGGCACAGTATAATTTACCTCAACATCCATCTAAATAGGAGAAATAAAAATACACTGGGGAGATTAAATGTTGGTATGCTGAATAATAAAAAAAAAAATACAGGAAGTTAAGTGAGAGATTAATCGCTGCATAGAGGAAAACAAGGACAACCAGTGGATTCTACCATACTATGGGACACAGTTAAGGCCATAATGAGAGGGAGGTTAATAGCAAGAGCATCTATAGCAAGACTCGCTACTACAGAAGGTTCTCCCAGCACACACTTTTTGTCCACCGCACACACAATTTAGCCTACTTCTAAAAGTCCATTCAGGTCTGTGTGTGTCTCCTCCGTCATGTGTGTCGGCCTTGAGGTCCTGCACACTACTGCCTTAAAAGAGTTGAGTGATTACTTCATGAGTACCAGCTGAGATAATCAACTCACCTGGCGCTGCGCTCACAAGCCTTCCCCACACCTGTCTCCTGCAGCTTAGTGCAAATCACACCCACCTCCACAGCATCAATTAAAAGCTGATTAAAGAAATAACACTGAAACAACAACATAAATAAAATAAAAATGTATCTGTTTTACAACAAATAATCAGAGTAAGATGACAGATAGATGAAATCTTAAGCCAAGAGGTTGAGAAAAAACAGATTTACTAAAAAAACTTTCTATGAATCAGGCCCAAAAGCAACCAAATGTTTGGCGAGATGACTTAAGGCCCAGCATACTTCACATACAATACATAAGATCAGAGACCCTGTCACAAAACAACTACTATTTGAACCTGAAGAAATAGAAAAGGTTTTTAAAGATTATTATGAAAACTTATATTCCCAACCTACTGCAAAAGAAAGTGAAATGAAATAATTCCTTGACTCATTGAATTTACCAGCTATTAGAGAAGAACACTGAATCACGAAAGAAGGAACTAGATCACGGAAGAAGGAACTAGATGCCGCAATTAGTAGATTAAAATTAAACAAAATACCCTAGCAAATGGTATAAAACTCTTCAGGGATCTCCACTACTCCTGAACTCTTTCAGTGTAACCCCCTCTGGAAAGAGGCCATCATTTCAGTTATACCAAAGGAAGGGGAAAATAAAGAATACTGCGAATCCTACAGACAGTATTTCGATTCTAAATGTGGATTATAAGATTTTTACTTCAATAATTTATAAAAGATTTGAAAAGTTTTTGTCTGACTTAATAGATGAAGATCAGTCAGGCTTCATAACAGGTAGGCAGACTCAGGATAATATTAGGCATATCCTACACATAATAGATCGAATGAATGAAAAAGTGCCATTAGAGTACCTTACATGTATATTACATTCAAAAACAGACCAATTCTATAAAGTGTGGGAACTCTATTTGAACTATGTAGAGCCTGATGTCTCTAATATCATGCTGCAGGGATTGTCTTGACTGCTCAGCACATTATTACTGTAACTGTAAAGTATTATTTATATGGATCTGAGTAGGTGTTGGTTTTTTTATTTGTCTTGTTTTGTTTACTTGTTGTTTTTGCTTTTTATTTCTGTGAACCATATTGTGTAACCATCCTTTACTTGTAAAAGTGAAAAATTAATAAACATATTGTTAAAAAAAATTCAATTTCTGTAAACTTTAAAGGTGTTGATGTGTTCATGAAAACGCACATTATTAACTAACATTATGACCCTTTGTTGCTATATGCAGTATATGGGGTGCTACACACAGTAATTAAGATACGGCAATATTAGTTATCAATAAAGAATGTGCAACACTTTGTGGTTCACAATGTGCCTCCTTCTTCCTTCCAAGCTTTGCTTGCACATTTGATGTGAGCTTTCCAGCGGATTTTGTGGTTTATTATACCATGGTCTGGCTGAATACTGTCCATTACTGAATAATCTTATTTTTCTTTTCTGTGGTCAGTGACTGTAGTATAAGAGTATAGTACTCTGCAAGGTGTCAATAATCAGGAATTAATGGACTTTGAGTAAGCAACCGGTTCTGGCCTTGATGTAGTCCATTAATTCCTGATAATGGACACCTCATTTGTTCAAATTTAATACTAATTTATTTATCTCAAACCACCTTTTTAATGTTCTTATTTCTAATATGAACTCCTCCAAAAGCTGCTGTTGTAAATCCTCCGCAAAACAAAAAATGTAATTTTACTTATTTATTATTCATTTCCTATGAAATAACACCTAGTTTCTTCTTCTCTCACTGAAATGTTGATTTCTGTTCAACACTGTGTATGTGTCAGATGGTCCTCAGCAAGGTTCACACACACACACACACACACACACACACACACACACACATACACACGCTCAATGCAGATGGAGATGTTGTTACCATGACAACCAAACGAGGAAAATGATGATTAATTTAGAGACATTTTTCTCCTCCATCTGTTTCTTTTTCTTCTCTTTGTGTCTCATTTAGACAGACAAACCACTATGACCTCTGACCTCATCCTGTTTTCAGTCTGAACATGAAGAAGACTGATCAAAAATTTGTTTTTTTAAGTGTCATAACTGGAGTAGTCAGACCAGATGATCTGATGATGGAGGACTCCAACCTCTTATGTCACCTGGTCTGAGGTTCAGGCAGTTTTCTTCACTTCATCTCAAAGAAAAAACAGTCAGTGAGGACAACCCCCCCACCCCCACCCCACTGTGGAAAATATAGAAATATCTGAGAAAGCAGTAAAAGGAGCTCCATATTGATCAATAGTTCAATCAGACTAGTGACAGCCTCATACTAAAGTGGACAGCAGGGTGGGGGAGGGGGTGGGGGTTGAGAGGAGTGATGGGCACAAACTAGCCAAGGCATGGTGAGAACCATATGGACAGATTGACCTAAAATCTGTGTTGAAAGCAGGAAGTCTTCAGAAAAACAGAGAAAATAAAAAATATAAATCCACTGAGACATGATTTAATGATGAGCACTCTAAAAGGAGAGGGTTTTTTAAAGGGAGAGTCTTTAAAAAGACTTTACTCAGGTCTGACTGGGATCTACAGGAGGAGGATGTTTACACCATCTGTGAGGGTTCTTCAGTGGATCCAAGCTCAGATTACACAGAACCAGGTTCTTGTGCTCAGAGAACACAAACATGATCAGTCTACAAGCAGGGAAACAAGAACTGTGATATACTTAGATTTGATCTTCTTTTTCACACAGTGGGAGGTTTTCTACAGCACGGCAGGGTCTGCCACTTCAGGTTTTTACTGTGACAATGGAGGTTATTTTTAGGGCATGTGTGGGGGAGCATCTACCACTAACCGAATGTACATAGATCACATGACCACCATTAGACACACACACTGTGAGCTGGAGGATCTTGTTTCCACTTGGTTGATTTTTGGCGTCACATCAGAGAAGAAGAACAAGAGGGAGGAGAGAGAGGAGGGAGGGAGGAGGAAGAGCCAGGAACAAGAGGCAGATAGGAGGGAGGAGGAGGAGAGCAGAGAGAGGAGGGAGGAGGAGGAAGAGCAGGAACAAGAGAGCAGAGAGTAGCAGAGACAAATAGATATATAATACAGATATATAGATATAGATATAAATAGCTATAGATACAGATACATGTACAGATACAGATAGAGAAATAAATATACAAATATAGACACATAAATAAGGAGGTGAATATTTGACAGATGGAGTCTGAAGAGAATCTGATCAACGTTTTCCTGCTGCTGTTCATCGGATCGCTGCTCACTGTGGTACGTTTTCTTCTCTATATTAGATTCTACTGGATTCTGTTTTATGATGTTCTAGTCTATTATATTCATATTCTACTGTGTTCTGTTATGTTCTATTATATTCATATTCTATTATGGTATATATTTATATTCTACTGTGTTCTATTATGTTCTATTATGTACTGTATATTTGTCATCTAGTTCTCTGATGTTTCTGTTTATTAGATTTTATGTGAGAGAACATTTCCGGTTTGTGACAAATTAAACATCTGATTAGATTGATCTGATCTGTGGATTATTATATAAAATTTACATGGATTGAATAAAACTGTAGTGCCTTGCTCAGTGACTCAGAGGGGATAGAACCTGCACACAGACCAGTTCTCTAAATTGGATTGTGTTTAATCATCAGACATGAATAAATGTGTCAAAAATCCGTATTAACAGATTTCCGCAAATTAGTTCATTAACAGACAGGATTACAGCCAGAAAGGCTGTACAGTTACTACTACAGTTTATACTACTACTGTTAATACTACTACTACTACTACTACTACTGACACTACAGCAGGAATACTACTACTGCTTATAATACTGCTACTGATACTACTATTACTACTACTACTAAACCGATAAACATAATATAATTGCGTAAGATAATATGAAACTGTAATAAGAAATAATGAAAGAATGTCCATAAACTTTTCAGATACATTTTCTCTCTGAAACTGATCGATTGATGAGGTTTTAATCATCAGGACTCCAGTATGTACCTCTGCTTCCCCTAATGCTAACACAGTTTCTTTACTTTGTTTGGTAGAAATACTTTCAGTCCAACTGCCTCCTCTCTGAAAATCATTGTTGCTCGGATCGTCATACAGCTTTTGTTCACTGTAGCCCTAATTAGCTTCAAGATGTTGTATTAACAAGTTGCTTTAAAGTAAGTGATGTGAGAAGAGAAGAAGACCAAGGTTTGATCCCTGAGGAATTCCACAGAATATCAGAGTTCCTCAGGGATCAAACCTCAGCCTTTTTTCTCTCAGAAATACATCATCATTAAATGCTGCTGACACTCAGTTCTATTTAATTAAAATAATTTGGATGATTAACAGACACTGCAGAAGGCCTTTATTGATCAACCAGTTTAACCAGTTTACCACAATCTGTATATCCTGCTGGTCTCACTCAACTGCTCAGAAACATTCAAATTATACAGAATGAAACGAATAACAAATTAATATGATAATATATTTATTTTGTGTGTCCATAAAACAATTTTCTCACTTCATGTAGAAAAAATCCTTTTCTGTTCAACGGAAGTAAACTACCAGTAACCAACCAGACATATTTTCTTCAAAATCACTTTGATTAAAGTCATAATAACTTTATAATTTACTATCAATCCATAATAACTTTATAATTTACTATCCATCCAAAAGTAACCCTAACCCTAACCCAGAGTTTGAGTTATTTTCTTTATGGTTCTGAATTATGAGCAGAAAGACTGAATACTAAATGAGAGAATGAGAACAGTGTTTGTATTTTAACACATATTTAACACATTCTTTCATTTTCAAGTCTTCAACACATTTGGTCAATTTAACATTTTTAACACGTTTAGTTCCAAACTTCCATCATATCCAGACTTCATCCATCCTCCTCTTCTGCTATTTTTTTATGCTCTTTTTGGATCCTCAGTATACATATTCATATATGTATGTATATGTGTATGTACATATAAATGACTTTATTTTAACTAATAAATAAATAAAGGATAAGAGAGTTGATTCCTGCTAAAAGCAGCTGCTCTCAGTTCAGTTTCACTGCTTCAGCAGTCAGATATATACTATAGTATATAGTACAGTGTATAGGACTGTATGTAGTACAGTGTGTAGTACTATATGTAGTACTATGTAATGATAATAGCAGGACTGGCAGGTTTGAAGATTGAAGTCTAACTGGCAGTCTCTCTATCTTTCTCTCTGTTTGATTGATTTATTAATTGATATATTTTCTGTGATGATTGCAAACAACTGTGTACTGCAGTAATTACAGTCATTAACATTATGTCCATCCTCCACTGTGGTCCTCTGATTTCTTCTCTAACAGGTAGGTCCTTCTGCCCCTGAGGAGGGCTGGCAGGTGTATAGTTCAGCTCAGGACTCTGAAGGTCGATGTGTTTGTACGGTGGTCGCTCCTCAGCAGACGGTCTGCTCCAGAGATGCTCGAACCAAACAGCTCAGACAGCTGCTTGAGAAGGTAAAAGAAACACTGCTTATAAAACTACAGATGGTACTGCTGAAAGTATTATAATATATATGTATATATGAATAGATGATGATATATATCATAAATAATTCATAATTGTATGATGTGTTTGTGTCTTCCAGGTTCAGAATATGAGTCAGTCCATTGAGGTTCTGGACCAGCGCACTCAGAGAGATCTGCAGTTTGTGGAGAAAATGGAAGTTCAGCTGAACGGTCTAGAAAACAAATTCAAACAGGTGGAAGATGGACATGAGAACAACATCGCTAGACAGTACAAGGTACCACCCACATCATGACATCATGGCTTAAACTGTCAATCAACAACTCAAAGCTCTGTGTGAACTACATACAGAAGACTGAGAACGTGGACACGGTGTAAGTTTATCAAACCTATGGGTGAAACCATCAGTGAGTTTGATATGTTACCGTGTATCCACAGGGAAGCAACACGAACTGTATGTTTGCTCTTCGAGATGTTGTTTTATCCATGTAACAACAAGTAATTGCGTATTGAGCTAGGAGTACTGCTGATCCATATTCTGTACTTGGGACAGAGGACTGCTCTGCTAATGTGCTGCTAATGCTAACCCTCACTACAATATCAGTCTGAACATGTTCAAATATCTTCATGATTTACACCAACTCAACTGAGCACTGTGTTATTAAAGTTATGATCTCATTTAGAACCAACAAAAACCTGAAGCTTAGTCCACCATGTGAAGATTGATGTCCACAAATTTCTCTTGTTGATCTCTTCTGTTTGTCTGTCAGTCCATAAAAGCAAAGATGGAGGAGTTACGTCCTCTGATCCCAGTCCTGGAGGCATATAAAGCGGACGCTCTGCTGGTCCAACAGTTTAAGGAGGAGGTGGCGAATGTGACAGAGCTGCTGGGAACGCTGCAGGAACAAGTGGGAGGTCTGGACTACCAGGAGCTCCACAGCCGAGTGACGAGCCTGGAAGACAGACTGAGGGCCTGTATGCAGAGGCTGGGTGAGTAAACGACACTCTAATAAACAAACAAACACACAGGAAATAAACACTGTAGTGAGTAAAAAAACTAATATCTTTTTTTTTAAAAGTCAGCTGACCTCCAGTGATCGGCAGCTGTTCCTTTTATGTTGTCCACCTTGCTGTTTGCGTTTCAGCATGTGGAAAACTGACAGGAATCTCTGAGCCCATCACCATCAAGACCTCTGGATCAAGGTTTGGATCGTGGATGACCGACCCGGTCGCTCCCACTGGAGACAACAGAGTGAGAATAACAACACAACAACAAGAAAAAAACATCAGTAACATAGAGTGTGAACTACAACATTTCTACAGGCAGGGAGGCTCCATTTAAAGACACCATCCAGGTGCATTAAGGCATTCAGTCTGTCACAATAACAACAGTCCAGAAGAGAAAATAAAAAATAAAATAATATATAACAACAGTCAATGTTCCCTCCGGATTGAGATGAGTCCAGGTTTTCTTACGGGTCAGGAACAGCCACAGATCACGTCAAAAACAGGAAGAGAAGCAGGCAGGTTCATAGTTAGCATTAGCTGCTAATGGTGAAGTTTTACTTGATCTGAGACTACAGTAATTATCAAACATAAAGATTTTATTTGTATAGTTTATGTAACACAGTCAACACATTATTCATTGATTTTTATATTTTTCTTTCTTCCCTTACAGGTTTGGTACATGGATGGTTACCATAACAACCGCTTTGTGAGGGAGTACCAGTCAATGTATGACTTCATGATGACAGATAACTTCACCTCTCACCGGCTGCCTCACCCCTGGTCTGGTACTGGTCAGGTGGTTTATAATGGATCCATTTACTTCAACAAGTTTCAGAGTCACACCATCATCAAGTTTGACTTCAGCACATCACTCATCAGCCGCTCTCGACAGCTCGACTTCGCCGGCTACAACAACATGTACCATTATTCTTGGGGGGGGCACTCAGACATCGACCTTATGGTGGATGAGGGGGGGCTCTGGGCCGTCTACGCCACAAATCAGAATGCTGGAAACATCGTTCTCAGCCAGTTAAACACAAATACTCTGCAGATCATCCGTAGCTGGACCACCAACCACCCGAAACGTAGTGCTGGTGAGGCCTTCATGATCTGTGGAACCCTGTATGTTACCAATGGATACTCGGGAGGAACTAAAGTATACTATGCCTACTCCACCAACTCCTCCACCTATGAGTACATCGATATTCCTCTGACCAATAAATACAGCCACCTCTCCATGCTTGACTACAACCCCCGAGACAGAGCGCTATATGCCTGGAACAACGGCCACCAAGTCCTTTATAATGTTACTCTCTACCACATTATACAATAAGATTAAAAGGTACAAGTCCTGTATAATCTTAGACTCTACTACTTTACACAGTAACAGAAAAAATAAATTCATTAAAATTTGAGAATAGAAAAAAACCCTACATCCTTTAGATCAGGCGTTGCCAAACTTTTCCCCTTACAGGGCCAAAATGAAACGTAAAATCACGGGCAAAAGTCAAACACCTATTGTATGATATTGTATTGTTTAGATTTAAAATGGTTCTAGCATTCCAAGTTCCCTTAATTGACTGACTGTGCAAAGTGTTAGTCTTCCTGCTGTGCTCAGATCATTAAATATAATTAATATTTATGGATCCGATATATATTTAAAGAAAAAATAAATTTATATAACTTTTTTAATTAATTTGGACTTTTTTTCTCTAGAAACATCTGGTTGGCCAAATCAGACATTATGGTGTGCCAACTTTGGGCAGCCCTGCGTTAGATAAATCCTCAAGTACATTTTTGACCACGTGTTGTTTGAAGTTTGATGATACAAATGCACTTCAAGTGTAAACACACATCACATAGAAATTCAACTTTCACAATAATAGACACTCAAATGGCACTGAAGAATGCTACACATGTGTTATCAAGACTTTTTTCTGTGAGTGATATTTTCTGACTTTATGAAATCAGACGTACTGTTCTTACTCTTAAGTAATAATAATAATAATAATAATAATAATAACTTTTCTTACTGTTGTGCACAGTGATATAAAACATTTAGGACTATTTCTTTTCTAATAATTCCCTAATTTTTAAAATTAGTTGTTGTAGGTTTAGCAGGTTTACCCCAACATTTTTCTCTCCATCTTTTCATGTGGTTTTACCACACACAAAGAATTCTGGGCGATGTAGACCCCTCAGCAGCCTCATTCACAAATCTGGTCCTCCTCAGCTGGTTTCTGAATACTGCTGAAGCTACAACTTAAACATTAGAAATATAATTCTTTTATATTCTGTGAGTGTTTGCTGTTTATGTATATTCATCAACTTCATGTTAAAGTATTTTTTCATACAACTCTCAATTCTTCTGGTCTGCTGGTACATTCAGTCCTTAATTCCAAGCATTATCTGCATCCGTCCATCTTCAGCTCAGGAGCCTCCATCACCAGGTCAGGCATGTTGGTCAGAAACATCAAATGGATGTAAAAAATGTGAGACTTGATTTAATTCTACAGGTCCAAGTTTGAAACATATACAGCTCAGTGATGATTTGTCACGTTTGGAGGACTTCGGTTTTTTCTGGTTTCTTTTGTTCTTCATTTCTTTTGTTCTGGTACCTTCATTTTTTTCGTCCATTTTTTTTACACATATACTAAATATTTGAGTTTTCTGTGTAAATTTGATCTGCGTGTAGGAGTAAGTGAAGACAACACTGAAAATATATGAATTTATTGAAACTATTGTAGTTGATTTCAACAATAACAGAAATTTTCTATTGTTACTTCTTTGTGTTTTGTATTTCAGATACAGATTCGTACTCTATTTGATGTCAGACTTCTGCCTCTCGTTCCACAGTGCAGTAATTAAGTGTTATGAACTGATGGGAAAAGCAGGAGATGTTTTATTATACAACAGACTGCATGTAAAATGTTAAAGGATTGCTCAGTTTTTGTAGCCACTAGCCTTAACAGCTGATGAGTTTTGGATTGTATCACAATCATGATGTTGCTTTTTTGTTTATTTATTAGTTGTTGATTTTTTACAAAAGTAAAATAAATAAACTTTACAGCCTACCGCTTCTCTTTGTGCGTTTCAAATGAGGTGATGTTGGTGTGAAATACTGTTACAAAGTACTGAATCAATATTAAAAAAAATTCTTACATCTTCTTAAGGGCCTTGCAATGCTGTATGTTTTTAACTCAACATATTTCAAAGCTGATGTCTGTAGTTCTCTCACTGGGGTAGATATAGTGTGGGCTAGATGAGTTGATTGAAGGCAGGTGAGGAGAATGGGAGAGTTGATGAGTTGATTTCAGAAAGGTGTGTGGAGAGAAAACACAAGGAAAAGGCAAAGACACAGCCATGGCCATGACAGGTGGTCCTGTAGATTTTTGTTCCTCTTGTAAACCGAAACTATTTTGTAGTCCTGGAGCAGGTTTGAGTGTCGTAGTTTCCTTAAGGAGTTGTTCTTGATGTGTTTGTTTGCTGGCATACTGTATGCTGAGTAATAATAATAATAATAATAATACATTTTATTTAAAGGCGCCTCTCTGGGCACTCGAGGACACCGTACAACACAAAAAATAATAACAGTAAGAAACAAGAAACAGATAAGAAAAGACATACAGTTAAGTGGGGTATTGCAATTCTGAAAGGTGAAGTTTTTAGTCTTGATTTGAAGAGTGTGAGAGAGTCCAGGTTCCTGAGGTCCGGTGGGAGTGAGTTCCAGAGTCGGGGGCAGAGCGCTGAAAGCCCCTGCTCCCATGGTGACGAGGCGGGTGGAGGGAGCAAGTAGGTGGACAGAGGAGGCAGATTTGAGGGAAACGGGAAGGGGATCAATGTGGAGGAGTTTGGACAGATAAGGAGGGGAAAGGTTAGGATTGGCCTTGAAACTAAACAGGAGAATTTTTGTAGTCAAATGCGGAGTTTTAACCGGGACCAGTTGGGAGTTGCTGCAATACAGGGGTGATTGGTGGATGGAGGGGGTTCTGGGAGATGATTCGAGCTGCGAGTTCTGAACCAGTTGAAGTTTAAGGAGGTATGTGGGTAGACCGAAGAAGAAGAAGAGTAGGTTTGTAATAAGTGGAATAATTTTCCTTTTGTCCTCCTGTGTGGTTATTTAGTTCTTTCTAATTTGTCATAGGAAGAACCTGGAGTACCTTTGTTTTTTAATCGCTTTAGGTTAGGGTGTATGGGCTTTTTAAGCGTTATACTCCGCGGTTTCCCACTGAGGACACTGGCACCCCTGGGTACCCCCTTTCGTCAGGCAATAGGCGATACAGTGGCAACCTTCAGACATTGGTCTCAGCATGCAGCATAGCTTTCTCCTCACAGGCAACGGGGTTAGGCTTTTAGAGGGAAGCATTTCTTCACGACTTTCAACCAATTAGCCGAAATGGGCACGGGCACCGCGCCACTTACCCGTGTTAGCTCCACTATCTCTCCTGTTCTGCTTCTCAATTAACACCTGAATGGCTGTCATGTTCTTGTTTAATGGTCCAGGTTACCATCTGCTGGTATCCGTCGGGTCTTTAAGAACCTTTTCCTCCTCTCGCTCTCCCATTCACCTTCTCTTCTTAAAGCCGTCTACCTGATCTTCGATTCTCGAGAGAAGGCCGACAACCACAGCTCCGGCGCGTCTTTCCTTCTTTTTCTGCTTGGCACGCAGAGCTGGAGCCTCCCTATCACAACTCATAAGGCAGAAAACAATCAAGCTGCCTGTATCCCGGAACACGTATCACTACAAAGCCGACATATATAAAACAGACAAAACATACACAATACAACACACCTGCAAATAAAAGAACACAATCTGCTAACAAGCCTCCGGGATCCCACTCTGCGCCTCACACCGCTATAAGCCCCATGGTTTTTGTATATCAGTTCTTTGGTTTTCTTTGTTTTGCCTGTCTATTCGCTTCATTGCTAGAAAAACACCGCAAAAGCGTGTTCTTTAATCAGACAATACCCGCCTAGGCTTTAAACAGATTCACACCAAATTACACTCCATCCATGCGTTATAAAGTTTTAGCGCTATTTTTGGTGTATGTTCTAAACTCATTCAGTCCCATGGGGAAGGAAAAGTTTTCACATCCACCCAATATCCATCTCCTCTCAACACTCACAGCTCTCTGTCCCTCTGACCAATTCCTCCTAATCCAACACTGATATACACGTAAACTTCAACAACATCATGATCTCGAAGATGTATATACCAATTCTTTTTTGTTTCTGTCCTCTCGACCAATCCATACAGGTGTTGTTTTAAGCGTTGAGAGAGTTCCATTTTGGGTTTGTCCAACACTAGTTTATGACAGAACCATCCACACTTAGTCACACTACACCAAATTCTTAGATTCAGATTCAGTGACATGATAAATGGGAAACCTTCACTCTGAATACTATTATACAACTGATATGGATTGGTCGTTTAAAAAGTAATGACAAAAAAAATATTTTTGATTGTGTGCGTTTTTTCAACCGTCCGGCGGGTGAGAGTACTCTCGATCCCCCGACTGCAATTAGTTGGCTCCATCACACAGTTTTGGAATGTTTCTTAGCCACTTTCCATGTGAGGGACTGTTAAAAGAACACGTCATGCCAGCACAACGCTGAGTGTTCTGTAGGTTTTCCTGATGGACTGTTCATTTCCTCAAATAGTGATTGTACTGTCCGTGGGAGTTGCTTGAGAGAATGTATCTGAGGTAAATAATTGGGCATTTGAGAAGCTTCATGCCATTGCCCATCAGTTGTTGTAGCTGTTTTTCATAGTCTCCATCACGATTCTGTCTCAAACAATATTTAATCCCAACCTGACCAAGTACCCACTCGGCTGAGTCCTTGGTGCAAGGATTCGGCTTATCAAGACTCCCCCCTGAGGTGGTGAATCGTGGGCCGCTGGGAAAGCCTGTCAATTTGGCACTGATGCAGTAACTGTGTTTAGCGGATTCTGGACAGTTACGAGTCCCCCCAATCATGCACCACCGGCTCCTCCACCTCAAAAACCCATTTTTCGATCTTCTGGGGGGCTGCTGGGGTGGCCGGATTGGCGCCCATCTTTGGGTTCCTCTAATGCCCTGCTCCTGAGCCCAAACTCCCCCCAGGGGGGCGGGGGAGCCAGCACGACAGCCCATCCACATTAACCTGCGGGCCCCAGCACCCCCACAGTCGCCCAGTCCATAGGTCCGACCAGCCATGCTCCACAGGCCCTGACCCCCCTCAGGGGAGTCTGAGATCGCTACCCAGACATTCGGAAACCACTAACATTACTAACAGAAAGTGTCTCCTCTCTCCTCATTCAAAGAACTCCCCGTCAGGGTTAGAGATAAGGGAATACGGGATAACGTGCACACGTTCACGACCATTGGTCCTCAATGAGCTATCTTCTCCCTCACGAGGAAGGTGCGTACGAGACTTCAAACCAAGCTTCATCTGGTTCATTTTTTCCTAAGGACTCTTTGGGCGCCACTATGAACTTCCTGTGATAACCCAGAAGTGGGCGCAATTACCGGAAATGCGCCATGCTAAAATCCTTCGTATCTCGGCACAACTGAGGTCGTGAGAGACTCTGGAGCCACGTCCAGCGTGTTCAGCCGCTGGCCGTGGAACTTATGTGGGCGGCACGCCCCATTTCAGTCTCTCCGACGTCTCGGCCCTCCGGGAGTTATCGAAACGAATTTAAAAAATACTTGCTATAAACAATTTCGTTAATTCATCAATATCTCGAGAAATCAAACCTCGTAGAAGACTTCAAACGCAAACATTCCGTCCACATATAATCGCACGGCTTTCCAACGTTACGGACGAGCTTCTACAACTTATGGTTCATGAGATACAACTTATTTTAAAAAATGTTCGTACACTTACGCACATTTCCCTACGCCCTAAAATTTCGAGACTGGTACCGTTTGGAAAGGCCATGGTCGATTTAGTGGTAAACTTGGTTGAGGTTTCTATGACCTTTTCCTATCAAGAGATAAAAAAATGAATGTACATAAATTAAACATTTAACAAAAACATGGTAGAATTTAATACCAAAATGCTGAATTAGAAGTCCAAAAAAAAGCCTATTTCAGCTCATTCTTGGCCCAGACACAGTGGTATGGAGGGTGTTGCTGGTTGCTCGTTACAATGGACTTTGATGAGGTTGCACTGAATGCCTGTACCCTGCTTGAGGCATACAAGGTCATATGCCAGCCCCCTCAAATTTCCTCACAGATGAGGAGTTGAGGGTTGGCTTTCTTCCCCCGCTCCACACCCCTCACCCAGCAACACCCTGTGTTATCAGGTCAGATGTGGACGGCATTGGATAGAGTTGAGATCCCTGTTTACAATCGATCCAGGGATCCACCAACTCCTTTTAGGCACAACGTTACTGCAATTCACACCTGGCAGTACATTAAACAAGCACTTCAACCTGCCGAGTTCTCGCAGAGTGTACTCGATCATGCCCCCACATCCATGGTG